GTAACCCCAGTACTTTGGGAGGCCAGGGCGAGTGGATCACGAGGTCGGGAATTCGAGGTCAGGCCAACAAGGTAAAACCCGTCTCTACTTTAGTAGAGTAAATTAGCCGGGCGTGGTGGAGACGTGCCTTTAATCCCAGCTACTCGGGAGGCTGAGGTTGCAGTGAGCCGAGATTGCACCACTGCACTCCAGCCTGGGACACAGTGAGACTCCCTCTCAAACAACAACAACAAAAATCTCTTCCCTCCAAGAACACACAGTTGAATGGGGGAATGCAAACGATTACAATATAGGGCTATCCTTGCTGCAAGAGGGCATAAACAGAGAGCACTCTGGAAGTGCAGAGAAGGACAACAGGATAGAAGAGGATCAGAGGTTTTCTGATGTAAGTAATACTAAAAAGACGCTGACAGACCTGCAGAGTTCTACAAGCTAAGAACGAACATTGACTTTTTCTAGGGTAAGAGATAAATGGAAGGGGAAGACAAATACAAATTAGGAAGACTGCAGACAAAGCAATGTAACCTGTTCCCACATTCATCTGAAATTAACCTCCCATTGCCTCCCATCTTTCTTCACTCTCAAACCAAAAATAACTAGTCTTGACAAGCTCTATAAATCAAAAGGTGCAGGTTCAGACCGGGTGGGGGAAAGCTGCAAGAGCGTGCATTCTAAGCAGGGTAAAATAGTGGACTACCAGCTCCTAAGCAAAACAAAGACTTTGGTGTGACAGATGCTCTCAAACACCTTGCTATCCAGCCAGTGAGATATGACTTGCCTATTTCTATTAAAGAGAAAGTCATGAGTTAAACTGGTAATGTAATAGAATAAACAGAATAAGACAAGACTTCATTAGAAGTATAGTTAGTTAAGATGGTCCCATCCCAGGCAGTGCCATTTCTCCAGGGACATCCTCTCCTACTTTCACAAGGGATAAGAGATCCTATTACATTACCACAAGTAAAATAGAGTGGAGTTATTTTCATCTTACCCAGGGAGAAAACACATACATTTTTTTCTTGTATATAAGGGATTAGCAGTAGTCAGTAAATGGCAACATAATCCAGCATGCAATTTTTAACTGTTAATCAAAGTCACAAACTAAGTCTGAAGGAAGTTTAATGGACTTTGTGTTTCCACATTTATGTTTGCTAACTTCTATGTTGAAATTGGATCTGTTTACAGAAACAGATCTATGAAGCTTCCAAAATTGGGTCAATTTAAAATCCAATGACAATCCCTCACTGTCCAACACTCAGAAGTCAGCACAGGACACATGGACACTTGTTCTAATTCATCACTGTCCAGAAACTTCAAGCAAATATATTTCCTATCATTTCTCTCCCAAACTTGTATGTTTCATACTGCCCTTTTTTAAGGGTTACAAACTCAGTTTTGCTTTAATTTATCCACAGAACTCAACAAACCACCTATGACTAATAGGACCTAGATAGAAATCAGTGATGCTGTTTATTACTAGGACAAATAATGACACAGAGCTTTGTAAAATACTAAAAGGAAATCTTAGCAGAATCACAAAGTGATCTGATATTCCAATAGTATGAAGCTGAAAAAGTGTGTAATGGTTGACAGTGGGGCTGCAGATTACAATCCTAGTCAAATGGTAGTCATTTCATTTTATAGAGATTTACACCCTTCAAAAGGTATCTGGTTTGGGGAATATACACAAACACCCAAACCCAAGAACCTAATAAAAGTATTTATTAGATGGCTTATGCCTGTAATCCCAGCACTTTGGGAGGCCGAGGCAGGTGGATCACCTGAGGTCAGGAGTTCAAGATCAGCCTGGCCAACATGGCAAAACCCCATCTCTACTAAAAATACAAAAATTAGCCAGGTGTGGTGACACACCGGTAATCCTAGCTACTCGGGAGGCTGAGGCAGGAGAATCACTTGAACCAGGAAGGTAGAGGTTGCAGTAAGCTGAGATTGTGCCACTGTATTCCAGCCTGGTCAACAGAGTGAGACTGTCTCCAAAAAAAAAAGTGTTTACCTATGGAGAATGAAGAAGAAAGTTACAAGGTTGGAAGAAGAGTTTAAACTATGAAGCTTTTTGTATTCTTTTGATTTTTGCACCATGCAAATATATTACCTATTTTAAATTATACATTTATGCCTATGTGAATATATACTGTTTCAGGTAAATCAGCATAATCTTCCTATAAGGCAATTTGGTGTTACATGTCAAAAGTTTTAAAAATGTTTTTTGTTTCTGTTTTTGTTTGTTTGTTTGTTTTTTGAGATGAGTCTCGTCGCTCTGTTGCCTAGGCTGCAGTAGTGCAATGGCGCGATCTCGGCTCACTGCAACCTCCACCTTCCAGGTTCAAGTGATTCTTCTGCCTCAGCCTCCCAAGTAAGTGGGATTACAGGTACTCACCATCATGCCTGGCTAATTTGTGTATTTTTACTAAAGACAGGGTTTCACCATGTTAGCCAGGCTGGTCTTGAATTCCTGACCTCAGGTGATCTGCCCGCCTCAGCCTCTGAAAGTGCTGGGATTACAGGCGTGAGCCACCATGCCCGGGCAAAAATACACATTCTTTTAGACCAGCAATTTCACTGGGTAAAATAATATAAAGAACCAAATAATGGAATACCATATAGCCATTAAAATTATGTTGCAGAGCCGGGCGCAGTGGCTCCCGCCTGTAATCGCAGCACTTTGGGAGGCCGAGGCAGGCAGATCACAAGGTGAGGAGATGGGAGACTATTCTGGCTAAAATGGTGAAACCCCATCTCTACCAAAAATACAAAAAATTAGCTGGGTGTGGTGGCGGGCACCTGTAATCTCAGCTACTCGGGAGGCTGAGGCAGGAGAATTGCTTAAACCCGGGAGGCAGAGGTTGCAGTGAGCCGGGATCGTGCCACTGCACTCCAGCCTGGGTGACAATGCGAGACTCCATCTCAAAAAAGAAAAAAAAAAAATTATGTTGCAGAAAAATTTGGCCAGGTATAGTGGCATGCACCTGTAGTTTCAGCAACTCGAGAGGCTGAGGCAGGAAGATCACCTGAGCCCAGGAGATGGAGGCTGTAGTGAGCTGTGATCACGCCACTGAAGTGCACACTCCAGCCTGGGTGACAAAGCAAGACCCTGTCTCAAAAAAAAAAAAAGAAAAGAGAAGAAAATTTATTAATGACACGGGAAAATATTCATAGCCTGATTATTAAGTCAAAAAACTTAGGGGCCCGGCGCAGTGGCTCAAGCCTGTAATCCCAGCACTTTGGAAGGCCAAGGCAGGCGGATCACGAGGTCAGGAGTTTGAGACCAGCCTGGCCAATATGGTGAAACCGTGTCTCTATCAAAAACACAAAAATAGCTGGGCAAAGTGGCGGGTGCCTGTAATTCCAGTTACTCGGGAGGCTGAAGCAGGAGAATTGCTTGAACCCGGGAGGCAGAGGTTGCCTTGAGCCAGACATCGCGCCACTGTACTCCAACCTGGGAGACAGAGTAAGACTCCGACTCAAAAAAAAAGTTGAAAAAATTAACAAAAGATTTTAGTGTATGATTTTTTTAAAAAATTAAAGACAGTGGGCTCTCTGTATCTATGGTTTCCATGTCTGTGGATTCAATCAACTGCAGATCAAAAATATTTGGGGAAAAAAAAAAACTGCAAAGCCGGGAACGGTGGCTCACGCCTGTAATCCCAGCACTTTGGGAGGCAGAGGCGGGCGGATAACCTGAAGTCGGGGGTTGGAGACTAGCCTAACCAACCTGGAGAAACCCTATCTCTATTAAAAATACAAAATTAGCCGGGTGTGGTGGCACATGCCTGTAATCCCAGCTACTTGGGAGGCTGAGACTGGAGAGTCGCTTGAACCTGGTGAGCTAAGATCATGCCATTGCACTCCAGCCTGGGCAACAAGAGCGAAACTCCGTCTCAAAAAAAAAAAAAAAAACTGCATCTGTACTGCACATGTAGACTTTTTTTGGAGACAGGGTCTCGTTCTGCCACCCAGGCTAGAGTGCAGTGGCACCCTCAGCTCACTGTAACCTCAAACTTCTTGGCTTAAGTGACCCTCCACCTCGGCCCCCCGAGTAGCTGGGACTACAAGTAGGTGCCACCATGCCTAGCTAAATTTTTTTATGTTTTTTTTTTGTAGAGACAGGATGCCACTATGTTGCCCTGACTAGTCTCAAACTCCTGGCCTCAAGCAATCCTCCTACTTAAGCCTCCCAAAGTGGTGGGATTACAGGCCTGAGCCACTGTGCCCAGCCTAGACATTTTTTCTTGTCATTATTCCCTAAACAATACAGTATAACAACTATTTACATAGTATTAACATTGTATTAGGTATTATAAGTAATCTAGAGATAATTTAAAGTATATGGGAGTATGTACATAAGCTATATGCAAATACTACACATCATTTTGTACCAGGGCTTGAGCATCTGACAATTTTGTTTTGTTTGTTTTGAGACAAGAGTCTTGCTCTGTTGCCCAGGCTGGGGTGCAGTGATGAGATCTTGGCTCACTGCAGCCTCTGCCTCCCAGGTTCAGGGGATTCTCCTGCCTCAGTCTCTCAAGTAGGTGAGATTACAGGCGCGCACCACCACACCCAGCTAATTTTTGTATTTTTAGTAGAGATAGGATTTTGCCATGTTGGCCAACCAGTCTCAAACTCTTGACCTCAGGTGATCCGCCCGCCTCAGCCTCCCAAAGTGTTGGGATTACAGGCATGAGCCACCATACCCAGCCGCGTATGAGAATTTTGATATCCTGGGAAGGTCCTAGAATCAATTCCCCATGGATATCAAGGGATGACTATACAGACACAGAAAAAAATTATAAAGAAATCTATCAAAATGCTAACCACGGTTTATCTGAGAGGTGGGATAGTGGGTGATTTTATTTTCTTTTTGCTTTTCGTAATAAATAAATTTCCTTCCAAAATATGTGTTACTTTATAAAATTAAAGTCATTTAAACACTTATGAAGTTGATATATTAATGTTCCTTCTTCCTATGGTCACTGCCTTACCTGTGGTTTAATCAGTCTATCAGGCCTACAGGCCTGACTGAAAGTTGCAATCTTCTCTTTCACCCCTTTTCTTAAATCTTGAAGTCTGGCAAATATGTATCAAGAACCTGGAAGAAGTAGAAAAGTGATGAAACAGGTTCCAAGTTCTCTGTAGTAAAAAAAGGGTTAACAGGCCGGGAGCAGTGGCTCACACCTATAATCCCAGCACTTTGGAAGGCCAAGGCAGGTGGATCACTTTAGGTCAGGAGTTCAAGACCAGCCTGGCCAACATGGTGAAACCCCATCTCTACTAAAAATACAAAAATTAGGCTGGGCGCGGTGGCTCACGCCTGTAATCCTAGCACTTTGGGAGGCCAAGGCAGGCAGATCACAAGGTCAGGAGATCAAGACCATTCTGGCTAACACAGTGAAACCCCGTCTCTACTAAACATACAAAAAAATTAGCCGGGTGTGGTGGCACGTGCCTGTAGTTCCAGCTACTTGAGAGGCTGAGGCAGGAGAATTGCTTGAACCTGGGAGACAGTGGTTGCAGTGAACCAAGACCACACCATCGCACTCCAGCCTAGGCAACAGAGTGAGACACCATCTCAAAAAAAAAACAAAAAACAAAAAACAAAAAACAAAAATTAGCCAGGTGTGGTGGCAGGTCCCTATAATCCCAACTATTCAAGAGGCTGAGGTAGGAAAATTGCTTAAACAGGGGAGGCAGAAGTTGCAGTGAGCTGAAATCTCAAAAAAAAAACTCTATATATAGTCAATTTTGCTTCCTAACTTTACTCATAGCAAAGAAAATTAAGTATGTCAAAGGGCATTTAACTCTCCCTCCTCTTTCTCCCAGGAATTCAAAGAGAATTAGGGAAGAGACCCAGAAAAAGCTGAAGGAAAATTAACCAACAGATGTAGACGAACTCTGAAAATCTCCTGGTACCTAAACAAGAAATGAAGGACTCTCTCACATAATCCTGGACAATCTTAACTGCAATAAATTAATTTTATCAAGGTTGAAATACACAGATTTAAGCATAAGGTTAGCCAAATAAACCCTATTCAGCTAATTTGAAAGTCTAAACAAAATTACCAACCTAGTTGAGTACAATCCAGTTTTTCATACCCGCAATTTTGTAGTCAATTCAGATAGTGCCTTCCTGCCTAGTCAATTCAACAGGTATTTAGTGGGTGATTCCTATGTACCAGGATTGTTTCAGTCCCTGTCTAACCAAACTCTTGCTTATCAAGAATTAGGCAAGGGTGGCTTTGTGAAGCACAGAAACACAAACTGTCTCTTGATCTCCCTCACCTCTAAATTGTCCGGACACTTAGAATACAAAACAGTAGAGCACTCAGATGGTGTCCTGTCTTGTTCTGATTCTCACTTGCCAATTTCAAACCATGTTTTTGTCCCCAAACACACCAAAAAACCTTTGAGTTCATCACACATCTGTATACCCATATCTCATGCCAATCTGAGCACGCAGTACCCTCAAAGGACAACTAAATGGCTGAGTTAGCTGAGAGCCACATAATTTTGATCCCAGAATGCCAGCTTAATACTGAACTGACTCATCCATCCAACCAGGGGGACGGACTTAAGTCTGACGTGGGGGTGGTGTAATACACTAAGGCCACAATACAAGAACATCCTTACTACAGCAGCAAATAGTCCTATTTTTGACAACATTTGATGAGTGAGAGAAATTCAAAGAGAGGCCATAGGAAGTCAAGAAAAGGTAAGGGTGAACCAGGGAGTAAACCAAGAGCTAGTCTTAAAGCAAAATCTAGGAGTCAAAAATCCTTTTCTATCCTAAGTAGGCCTGATTTGGGGAAGTCCATGTTACTGAACTACCAGAAAATTATATGTGGAAAACAAGACGTTATATGTCAAGAAAATAGGGGGTAAACCAATTCTACAATATTATAACCTGGTTTGGTTTTCCTTCCCCCCTCCAATCTATAAATGTTGAGAAAGGAAATGAGAAAGGGAATAATATCTGGTGATTCCATACAAAAAGAGAGAGCTGGACAAATATGGATAACATATAATGAATTTTAAATCCCAAATAGAAGACAACTCCAAATGGACTTAAACTCTCCCTCAATTATGTTCTCACACCATCTAATCATCTTTCTGTTTTAGATAACAGTTTTGAAATGTCCTTATTTGTGACTACCTCTGTTTTCCTCCATCAAACGCCACACTTCCTGAGGGCAGGGCTACTGTATCACCCATTTCTCGAAATTTATCTAGATTCTGGCCCACAGTTTCCTCCTCCTTCCTCCTTCCTCCGTTTCCGTCAAGAGGGACCAAGAATAGCACCAACTACATTGGCTTGGCGAGGAAATGAAATGAGAACGGGCACGCAGGGTACTTAGTTCAGTCAATGTTTATAACCTGTTAGCATGGTAATAATAATTATCGTTACCTTTATTAGACGATAGCCTCCCGCAACTCCTTTTCCCCCCAGTTTCCCGGACGGACTTCAGAGCAAAATCCTGTCGCCAAGAGAAGGGTGGCCCGAAGCCCCCGCTCGCACCCTGCCCCGCCTAGGCGGCGACCGAGCACCGCAACCGCCTCAGAAGCCAGGCCTACCCGCGCGAACTGCGCTAGGAGCTGGAAGGTGAACTTCAGCCATTCCAAACTCCGGGAGGAGGGAGACCCGCGCCCCAGCTGCTCCCTCTTTTCTTCCCACGGCTCACCTAGCCTCTCCTCAGTTCTGACAACGAAGCGCCAGCCAACCCGCCGCGGGACTCATTCAGTATCGTTGAAATTTTGAACCCAGGCAGCCTAGTCGAATGCACCAATCAGAGCTCCAAGAAAGCAATTCCAGGCTCCCGATTGGCCCTACAGAGCGCAGCAATACCGGAAGTCAGAAGGCGGTACCAGCGAACAACGAGGCCGGGAGTTCCCGGGAAGTGTAGTCTCCTGCGCCTGCGTGAGTCCACTGGAACAGCCCTTAGGAGTAAATTACTACGAAGACCGGAGTGCTCTGCTCCAAACTCTTTGGGAAAGGTGGTACCAACTGAAGAGGTGGAAAGTCGACTTAGATCACAGAATGGCGCGCATCCTGGACATCCCCAGGCTTTCAGGGAAGAAAACTTTATTTTTAAAAATTATTCTCGTTATGGTTGTGCATTATCCCTTGAAGGTTCAGAGGAGTTCACTCGTCTTAACGTGGAGTCTCCTGCATGCAACATAGACTTGCCCGTAGCGTCCTTCCCAACCGTGCATGTGTCTTCTCAAACCTTTTACCGAGGCCCTGCCCTGATCTTGTTCGTTGGGTGCTTTATCCGGTTTTATTCCCAACTGCATTCCGGCTTTATGATCCCCATGTGGTAAAAAGAAAACAAAGGCTCGGAGAAGTTGAACAAACATGTCCAAAATCATATAATAGATGGAGAAGACGGGATTCGAATGAAGAAGGTCTGTTCTTTTTATACATCACCGATAATTAATTAGAGGCCAGGCTTCGTGGCCCTCACCTGTAATCCCAGCTACCCAGGAGGCTAAAGCAGAAGGATCCCTTGAGACCAAGAGTTCCAGAACAGCGTAGATATCATAACGAGACCACCCCCACCATCTTAATTTTTTTTAATCAATTAGAAAATAGAAGCAACAAGCACAACAAAACAACTCCCTTCATGATACCAGCAAAAGCTAAAGATTCAAAACTTTAGCCCTAGGCTGGGCGCGGTGGCTCACGCATGTAATCCCAGCACTTTGGGAGGCCGAGATAGGCAGATCATTTGAGGCGACGAGTTCAAGACCAGCCTGGCCAAAATGTTGAAACCCCCATCTCTACTAAAAATACAAAAATTAGCTGGGCGTGCTGGCGCGGGCCTGTAATCACAGCTACTTGGGAGACTGAGGCAGGAGCATCACTTGAACCCGGGAGGTGGAGGTTGCAGTGAGCCAAGATTGCACCACTGCACTGCAGCCTGGGCGACAGAGCAAGACTCTTCTCAAAACAAAACAAAAAAAAAAGGTCGAGGCAATTCCAATGAAAGTCCCAGTGGGTTCTGTTCTGGAATTTGCCAAGTTAATTCTAAAGTTCCTATGGAAGAGCAAAAGCACAAGTAGTGGCATCTTGAATTTTGAAAAAGATTGGGGAAATTGACATACCAGATTTTGTACATATTAACATGAAATTATAGTAATTTTTAAAGTATGGTTCAATTAATTCACACGCACGGGGGGCAATCAGCAAAATCCAGACAGGAAAACCACAGGACAAATGATTTAGTTTATTCAAAACATAAACTGCCAAGAGTTTGGTTTTGTTTTCTTTTCGTTGTTGTTGTTTTGTCTTGTTTTGTTTTGTTTTTTGAGACGGAGTTTCATTATTGTAGCCCAGGCTGGAGCGCAACAGTTTGATCTCGGCTCACTGCAAGCTCAGCCTCCCGGTTTCTCCTGCCTCAACCTCCCAAGTAGCTAGGATTATAGGCACACGCTACCACACCTGGCTAATTTTTTATATTTTTTGGTAGAGACGGGGTTTCACCATGTTGGCCAGGCTGGTCTTGAACTCTTGACCTCGGGTGATCCCCCTGCCTCACCCTCCCAAATGCTGGGACTACAGGCATGAGCCACCACACCTTTTGTTTTCTTTTTTAAGAGTCCTCGTGTTGTAGAGATACATAGAGATATGGTAGGGATGAAATTACTCTGGCACCTGCTTCCAAATAATTGGGAGTAGGCAGTGAAGATAAGTAGGTGGGGATTTAGATGAAACAAGATTAGCTACAAAATGATAATTGTTGAACCTGGTGATGGGTTCATGATATATAAATACATACATATACTCTTGTATGAGTTTGAAATTTTCCACAGTTAAAATGAGGTGGTTGCCTGGTGCAGTGGCTCACACCTGTAATCCCAGCACTTTGGGAGGCCAAGGCAGGTGGATGATTTGAGGTCAGGAGTTTGAGACCAGCCTGGACAACATAGTGAAAACCTGTCTCTACTAAAAATACAAAAAATTAGCCAGGCATGGTGGCGGGTGCCTGTAATCCCAGCTACTTGGAAGGCTGAGGCAGGAGAATCACTTGAATCCGGGAGGCAGAGGTTGCAGTGAGCTGAGATCACGCCATTGCAGTCCAGCCTGGTCGACAGAGCAAGACTCTATCTCAAAAAAACAAAAAAAAACAAAAAAAAAAAGTGGGGGGATGGGGGAGTAGTGGTGGTTGTTGTGGTGGTTGTTTTGTTGTTTTGAGATAGGGTCTTGCTGTCACCCAGGCTGGAGTGCAGTGGCAGGATCACAGCTCACTCTAACCCCAACCTCCCAGATTCAAGTGATCTTCCCACCTCAGCCTCCCAAAGTTCTGGGATTACAGGCATGAGCCACCGCACCTTGTCTAAAAAGAGATATTTTTGCTGGGCACAGTGACTCACGCCTGTAATCCCAGCACTTTGGGAGGCCAAGGTGTCCAGATCACCCAAGGTCGGGAGTTCGAGACCAGCCTGACCAACATGGAGAAACCCTGTCTCTACTAAAAATAGAAAATTATTCTGGCGTGGTGGCAGGCACCTGTATTCCCAGCTACTTCGGAGTCTGAGGCAGGAGAATCGCTTGAACTAGGGAGGTGGAGGTTGTGGTGAGCCAGGATAGCGCCATTGCACTCCAGCCTGGGCAACAAGAGTGAAACTCCATCTCAAAAATAAATAAATAAATAAATAGAGGTATTTTTAAGTATGGTATTGTCATAGAAGTTAAAAGTGGGGGAAATCAGTAAAAGAGTTTAAGAGTCCAGAAACACACTCAGCCAGTTACAGTGGCTCATGCCTGTAATCTTAGCACTTTGGAAAGCAGAAGCAGGAAGACTGCTTCAGCCAGGAGTTTGAAATCAGCCCGGACAACATGGCAAGATACAAAAAAACCTTAAAATTAGCCAGGTGTAGTGGCACGTACCTGTAGTCCCAGCTACTCGAGAGGCTGAGGTATGAGGATCACTTGAGCTTGGTAGGTCAAGGCTGCAGCGAGCCATGATTCTCCAGCCTGGGCAACAGAGCTGGATTCTATCTCTAAAAACAAAAACAAAATCCAGAACTCACGTATATCACGTATATCAGAATCTAGTAGGCCAGGCGCAGTGGCACACCTGTAATCCTAGCACTTCGGGAGGCTGGGCGGGGGCGAGTAGCTGAGACTACAGGCGCCCGCCACCTCACCCGGCTAGTTTTTTGTATTTGTTAGTAGAGACGGGGTTTCACCATGTTAGCCAGGATGGTCTTGATCTCCTGATGGTCTCGATCTCCTGACTTCGTGATCTGCCCGTCTCAGCCTCCCGAAGTGCTGGGATTACAGGCTTGAGCCACCGCGCCCGGCCTTTTTTTTTTTTTTGGAGACAAAATTTCGCTTTCACCCAGGCTGGAGTGCAATGGCGTGATCTGGGCTCACTAAACCTCCCCCTCCCGGGATCAAGTGATTCTCCTGCCTCAGCCTCCTGAGTAGCTGGGATTATAGGCACTCACCACGAAGCCCAGCTAATTTTTTAATTTTTAGTAGAGACGGGGTTTCACACCATGTTGGCCAGGCTGGTTTGGAACTCCTGACCACAGGTGATTCACCTGCCTCAGCCTCCTAAAATGCAGGGATTACAGGTGTGAGCCACTGCACTCGACCTATTAACAACTCTTAAAATGTCAAACAAGTATGCCTTGTGATGTAGGACTTCCATTTCTAGGTTTCATTCCAAGAGATAAGACTCATCCAGTCACACAAAGGCCCAGTTGCTGCAGCGTTTATTGAGCACCTGCTATGTGCCAAGTCACCATATACTAAGTGTGGGGATACAGCAGTAAAAGGATGAAATTCCTGTCCTCGTGGAACTGTCGTTCTAGGGGAGAAGACAGATGCTAGATGAGCGAAATAAGTAAATGATCTAGTGTATTAGCAGGTGATAAATGCAAAACCGTTTGCTCACGAGGCCCTGAAGTGTGGATGGCAATACAAGGAGAAAGGCAGGAGCTGGATAGACAGTGGGGCAAAGGGAGGGCAGGAGTCTGCCTGGGCTGTGACTGTCCCACTTTCAGCACCCACATCACCCAACAACCAGGCATGTGCCTGCCAACCATGGAGTAGACAGGCTCGGGTCAAGATCAGGGTGAAGGTAGTTTGCCTTATATTAGGAAGGAAGAGGCATCAGAACTGTCGTTGTCTGGGGACTACTAGGCAGAAGGTAACTGACCAAATGAATAAACGAATGAATGAGGCAATGCAAGGAGGCCAGGATATGTGCAAGAGCTTCCCAGTTCCTTCCAAATGAACAGGAGGTAAACCTGGTCCAACAGTTTCCTCTCCTGTCATTTTATCTGCTCATGTTAGGCTGAGCTTCAAGTTCTCGTTCTCTGTGAATGGCAGACTATGTGGTCTGAATCACTGAAGCAGGATTTCAGAGCTGGAAGGACAGACACATCTGGTCCACTCTGTCCACAATTTCAATTATCACCGAGGAAAGGGGACAAGAGTGGAAACAGGGAAATCAATTAGTAGCTCATTGCAATGTAGTTGTGAGAAATTGGAAACCACCTAAATTTTCACAAATAGGGGAATATTTCAACCAACTGCCTACAGAATGGAATACTAAGCAGCAGTTTAAAAAAGTTCCATGGATCTGGACTGACAGGAGGGGATCTTTAAGATACATTTTTGAGTTAAAAAAAAAATGAATAGCATGACTGGGCACGGTGACTCATGCCTGTAATCCCAGAACTTTGGGAAGCCAAGGCAGGTGGATCACCTGAGGTCAAGAGTTCGGGACCAGCCTGGCCAACATGTTGAAACCCCATCTCTACTAAAAATACAAAATTAGCCAGGCATGGTGGTGGGCGCCTGTAATCCTGCCACTCAGGAGGCTGAGGCAGGAGAATCACTTCAACCCGGGAGGTGGAGGTTACAGTGAGCCGAGATC